CTCGTTGAGCACAAAGAAGGACCAACAGAAGCAAAACCAAGTGAAGTTGAAGCTCAGCCAGCTGGAAATCCACCGTCGGATGAAGTACTAGTAAAAAGAGGCCCAGAACCCGGTGAGCACAAAGAAGAACCAACAGAAGCAAAACCAAGTGAAGGAGAAACTCCACTAGTGAAACATAAAATGTATAGGGGAGCGCCAGTAGGAGAAGGCGCAGAACAAGGTGAGCACAAAGACGGATCAACAGAACCAAAACCAATTGAAGGAGAAGCTCAGCCAGTGAAATATACACTGTTCAAGGGAGAACCAGTAATTGAAGGCGCAGAACCCGGTGAGCACAAAGAAGGACCAACAGAAGCAAAACCAAGTGAAGGAGGAGCTCCGTTAGTGAAAAAAAAAGTGTACAAGGGAGCATCAGTAGAAGAAGGCGCAGAACCCGGTGAGCACAAAGAAGGACCAACAGAAGCAAAGCTAAGTGAAGGAGAAGCTCCGTTAGTGAAAAAAAAAAGTGTACAAGGGAGCATCAGTAGAAGAAGGTGCAAAACAAGGTGAGCACAAAGAAGGACCAACAGAAGCAAAACCAAGTGAAGGAGAAGCTCAACCAGCCGGAAATGCACCATTGAATGAAGCACTAGTAAAGAAAAGCGCAGAACAAGGTGAGCACAAAGAAGGACCAACAGAAGCAAAACCAAGTGAAGGAGAAGCTCCGTTAGTGAAACATAAAGTGTACAAGGGAGCATCAGTAGAAGAAGGCGCAGAACAAGGTGAGCACAAAGAAGCATCATCACACCCCAAATCAGGTGGACACAAAGGTAAACCAGCTGAACGCTCTAAGTCCAAGAAAGGGCCGGTTAAGAAAGGCAAAGAATCAGGTAAGCACAATGAACCATCAGGAAAAGTCGAGTTAAAGGAAGAAAAAGGTGAATCAGGGGAACGTATAATTTACAAGAGACCGGCCATTAAGAAAGGCAAAGAATCTTCTGAGGACCGTGAAGCATCACCTAAGAAGATCGGATCATCATTATCATCAATACATAACAAGAAGAATGGGTCGAAAGGAGATAGAAGTAGTGAAGAACCTGATGCGAAAAGCTTTGGTTGCAACTTTCCTGCTTACAGGGCACGACAGAAAAATTATGGTAAGTTTCGTTTTTTAATTAATTGTACATATAAGAATTATGATATTGCTAGAGTCAAATTTAATGCATTTGTTGGCTGACGTTTTGACTCGTCTTCGTCGTAAGTATCTTCTGTTATTTGTTAAATACTTTTTTTAATTTTTATATCTGTAAATTCTTCTTCAGATCAACAAGGTGTTGTATCTAGTGAATCAAGTGCATCAAGCGAATCAAGTGAATTTCCAGAATTCATATAATTTTATTCCTTTTATTATAAACTTTATACCTTAAGAAAGGAACATTCCTCCTCCTAAAACACTGGTGTAATGAACCCCTTTTATCATCTAACAAAAATATCGCTAATCGTTTTTGCTCTTGAATAACAGGTTGATAAGCAAACAAAAGAATATTCATTTCCATAAATATTATTAAGATGGAAAAAATAACATTGGTTTTCTGTAATTGTTTTTCTATGTGGTTTGACTCTTATTCAACTAGTGATCTACTAGTTTCTTTCGATAATATTGAAGGTTTTGCCACTTGAGATTCTGCAAGAAAAAGAACTAATATTTTGATGAACTATTCTAAATTAAAATCAATCAGAACGACGAGCAACAGTTTCAATTGTTCGGTTGAAATTATGAATAATGCCGACTAATAAATGATAATCAGAGATGTTTCTAAGAAAAGGAGATCAATTGTGATTACTAGAAACTAATTAGTTTTGATCAGTCAATCAACAAGAAAAAATAGATGAAAATTTATTTGACTATTGCAAATGGTTTCGAACAACAATATGTATATGTTAGACATGAGTAGCACCATCTTGCTCATATCTATTTAGAATACGTTAGTCGTTACAATATAACATTCGACGCAGATTTTACATGACCATGAAAGGTATCGTTCCGAATGGAAAGTGTTGGTCTTGGTGCTGGTCCCGCCGTGACCGAGATCATATATAGAATGTGTACTCATGAGTTAAATATGTTGTCTAACGAACTTTGAATTGTTGAAG